ATATGCTTACCTAAGCGTCTGGTAGCAGATGATAAAATTCTTAGGCATTACTTGTACATTTGATGTTGGAAACATGATCACCTAAGAGTCTGATAGCCGACAATAAAATTCTTAGAAATTATTTGTACATTTAATATTAATAACACACAGACAGCAACGCAATTGTTCTCATATAAAATAACAGACGCTTATGATCATTATATTACAATTATACCTTTGATGTCGGAAATATGCTTACCTAAGCGTCTGGTAGCCGATGATAAAATTCTTAGAAATTATGAAGCCATAACAACAAACGTTACCATTGTTCTCATAAAATTCATACGATAATGATTATTACTATATGACAACATCTTCAATATTAAAAAAATATGCTTACCTAAGCGTCTGGTAGTTGATGGTAAAATTCTTAGAAATGATTTGTACATTTAATAATACAAAGACAGCGTCCCATAAAATTACAGACGCTTATTAGCGATATAATATTATGATACCTTTGATGTCAGACATATGCTTACCTAAGCGTCTGCTAGTCGATGATTAAATTCTTAGAAAACGTTGGGTTTCATCCTCTCCCTCCCCCGCATTAGGTTAGTTTACATAAGGTTTCCCCCTCCCATTCCATTAGGTTAGTTTACGTTAGATTTAATCCCCCCGTACACTTCCTCCACCGCAAGGAAGGTGAGTGGGTGAGGCGGGGGGGGCAGCTCTCTCCAAATTACCCTACTGATNAGGAAGGTGAGTGGGTGAGGCGGGGGGGGCAGCTCTCTCCAAATTACCCTAATTATATAAATAAATATTATTATGCTTTTTCACTCTATTCAACATATTTAGTACTGTCTAGAAATAAAAAACAAAAAAATTTTTGAAATTATTAAATATGATAAAATAATATTAACTTCTTATGAGGCTACTTAGATAAATATTCCTAGATGAAATATTTTAAATCATCTAAAAACAATATTCACCATTTAAGGTAATATGAGAAAAAAACAAAATCCTAGGGACAAAATATTCGCTATACTAACGCAGATTCCATGTAAGAGAATGTTGACCAAGAATCTCACATCCCCTTCTTTTAAGAAAAAAAGGCCTTTTTATATTCCGTATAAATTAAACCAACGATCCCTAGTGGAATTCTTGAAATGGTGTATAATTATTTTTGATTTGTTACTTATGATAAAAACTAGCGTGAACGTTACTGTTGATTTGTAAGAAACTAATTTAAAATATTTGTTAATAAATGTTTATTTTGAATATCATAAAAAATTCTTAATTTTTGCTTATCATATATATATGATGTCTAGTACATGTGTTTATAATTATACTACACTCTGCAGTACAGAACGGACACATTTTGACGTTAACGTGTTCACTGGACTCTATTTAACAGTTGTTGCATTAGTGTAATAATTAAAAATAAACACTTTTACTTAGCTTTACAATTTCTATATACTTTTTAAGATTGTATTGTTACTAGAAATTTAGTTTCACAGGACAAGGTGGATTTTAACATCTGAAGTTACTCAATTTAAATAACTTTAGACATTTTTTATTGGTTCAAAAAATTGGTACACAGTAAAAAAAAAAGTAAAATGTTAAAAATTAAATAATGTAATTAAACAATTTTGATTTAATTGAAGTACAACTATTTTATATGCTAAAAAGTATTTAATTTATTAAAAAAAATAAAAATAAAATATACAGCTAAAATTGGAATAGAAAATAAATGCATTTTTTTATGAAAAAGCATAAAAATTTGCAATTTTTACAAAACAATTGCTTATTTTTCATAAAATAAGTCGGAACATGTGGCACGGAAAACATATGGTTTATATTGTGAATAACATATAAAAAACGCAGCTATAAGAGTATTAAATGTGTTTCATTTACTTTATGTTCCTGTAGTATAGTAATTGATTGTTCAGCAGAAGAGCTAAACGATTACAGGAATTACCAATGAAAATAAATGTCTGTTTGTCTTTCTCATAAAAATTGATTAAGTAGTAGCATACGTTTAAGTTAAAATTTTACAATATTAAAAACAAGGCATAGGTCAAATCAATTAAAAAGGACAAATTAATTACTTGGTATTTTATGATCAGTATCATAGAGTTCAACAAAAAATCTCAACACTATTATCTAAACATTTTTGTTCGTGGTATAAATAAAAAGTATACACTTTTTAAAAATATTTTACCATTTTAACTATGACAATATAAAAAGTTGAAACATCATTTCATTCAGTATACTCGCAAAGACAATTGTTTATTATGCGTAAAAATAATTTTGTTTGTAAACGTACCACATTTATCATAAACACCCGCAGACTTTTTTTACGAAATATCACTCAAACAATACCAAGGATTGCTACTCAAAATGATTGGCCTAAAAGAATATTTAACCATGTATGTACTTACTTAATTAGTAGAAATAATATTAGGGATCAATCGTTTCTTGGTAAAAAATGGGGTGAACTTATAACGACATGTTTTTACATAGTTTTATGAGAAAAATTTATATTAATCTACTTTAACTTTTATTTCAGTTACTAAAATTTAATTTGATTATGTTAAATATTCTTTATGTGTATTAGTAACATTTAAAAAAAATTAAATATTATTTTACTCAAAATAATTGAACAAAATTCAATCTTTTGTTAGTAGAGATATTAACAAAAATGTATAACGTCATGTATGTAGTTTACATATTTTTAAAGTTGTACTCTTTTAGTATCTAATCTTATGAAAACCACTTAAAGACAATACCATCACATTGTTGTCAACAATTAATTATTGTTATAGCTTAATTAATTTTTTTTGTTGTAGGCTACAAATAAATTAAAGACGTTACATAAAATATGGTTAAAAAAAAAATTCAAAATTAAAACAAATTCGAAAAGAAGAAAACAGATTGAAATAAAATTATTAGCTGAAACTTTATTTAAAGGTATCTATTATAATAATTAAAACTATGTTCAGTGTCTTACAAATACAATAGTGTAGCCAAGTTATCTGAGGTAGCTGCATCTCTCTCCAAAATGTATTTAATTTTTTACTAAAATTGATACTTTATAAGAATTTTGAGCCCCCGAAAAAGTGTTATAAAAATAATATGTTAAAATAATAGTAATCTTTCTACAATCCTTTCAAAAATAAGTAAGGCTTCAAAAATGTATAATTTTATCCATCGCTCAAAAATTGCGTGACTTATTTTTTGATCGTCGCTTTTCATTAATGATCTTTCCTTAAACTCTAGTCTATTTATTATTTTATTTCGTGATTTTAAAATTAATAACCTATAAACATACTGTAACTTTAAAACAATCATAATTTAAAACAATACATTTTTGACAAGATTTTAAAAGAATAAGATTTATAAGATTTTATTTATAAGAATTTCTTGTTATCATATTATAATTTTAAGCATTAAACATTATAATTCATTAATATTTTAAATACTTGAAGTTATAAATTGACGTGAAGAGCATCAACTCACCCCTTTTTGAGGTCGACTGGGTTTAACATCTGTCCTAAAGGTCAAACATATTTAATGCTACTGCGTAAAGCAGACCTGCATTTGGGGATAGAGCAAATGTTACCTTTTAGCCATGGCGGCAAATGTATGGCTCAATTTATGGGCCGCAAATTTTTACAAAACATCATGATCTCATTGATTACGTAAAAATTTATTGTCTAAATATTGCAATTGTTATGTTTTACTCATAACCGAAAAAATATATATTGTGGTCACCGTTCTACTAATTATAACCTTTTTTTTTCAAGTAAGGCCCTGGCATAGGGAGTTATGCTTAAGAAGAAGAATTTTTACTACACATTCTGAATTGTATTTTAAATATTTTTAATAATCTGTTATTTTCGTAGCAAGTTTTTATATATCAAAATATATTATCAAACAGTAGCATACCCAGTGGGTCTACTAGACTACCACCATATTTTTATGGTTAACTCTATATAATACGAGCCACGAAGAAGATCACTAAGGGTATCCATTTTTAATTGTATAAACATACAAATAAATTTTAAAATATTGATTAGTATGCTAATGGGCATGATAAAAATATCAGCCTGCAACAACAACGTGGTTTGCCACATTCATAACGACTTACCATAGTAGCAAGGGTCGCCACCACCTAGGTGAGGTGTCACACCTTTCAGATATAATTACCGGACCATAAGTAGAGTTTAATTTTAAGTTAATTAAAAGTGTAATCTAAGTTAATATGTCGTTATATGTATAAATGATTATAATATCTCGTGGTTCATTAACCACAACTATGATAATTAAAATTGTATGTGGTTGATATGTAAAACATACCGTAGCCCATGTCTAGATTAAGAAAAAGGGGTAAAATACACACGAGTTCTTAAGTTACTCGCTCAATAAAATAAATATTACAGTTAAAATTAATGAAGAAATTTAATTTAAGTATTAAAAAAGAAAATTAAGTTAAACATGGACAAAAATACGAATGTATCAAAAACCATGTCTATAAATAAAGGCAACAAAAATAAAATAAAATATTTAAACAAAAAAAATAATATTACAAACAACACGGACGGTATTGGAACACATCCGTTAATGTTATTTGGAAATTAATGAAAAACACCAGGAGCAGTCTGGACACTCGTTCCTTAGCGTTGACTAGAAAGAAAATGAAATATGTGCTTTCCACACATAAACAAAAATAAGTCAATTAAATAATAGAATAATTAATAAAATACAGCTCATCACATAAATATAATTATAAAACAGAAAACGATAACCGGTTGGTATGCGTGTATCCTCTTTTATAAACTCTTCTTATACTTAGGTTTTTTTTTAAAAACATACCAAAGAAATGCTTATTATCACTATTTTGTTCATCAATGTTTTAAATATAAAGTTATAGCAATTTTAAAATGCAGGAAAAAAATGTTTAAAATGCCATTTTTTACAGTAGTGTAGATAGAAATAATCTTGTAATTTTTAAAATTGTGGATATTCTTTCAAATTTTTTTACTTTGATGGGTTCAACTAGATTGAAAACGGGTTCTTTTGACACATAAATCAATAAAATCAGTCTAATAAGAACTGAGAATTAATATGTATGTATGACTAGTATCAGTAATACTAGACTAAAAAATGGCCTCTAAAATTTTTTTATTCTCAAATAATGACCAACAAAAAAAGTCATCAATACGTTAATCAGGGCCTGGTACTACAGATCCAAATTAAAATAGTTATATCCGAACCTATCCTAATATCAATCCTTACCACGTCACTGGTGGCAGGAATATATTTATATTTGATATAATCATAACCTAATTACATAGCATATAACAAATAAAATGAACATTAACAAATTAATTATTATAAAATCAATTTGAATACGAGTAGCAGTAGCGTTCTCAGGGCGGATGAATATAATACATTTTTTTACTACTCCTTTATAATACAACTTAACCATTTATTTATTCTTTTCATAAGGGCTTTATTCCTCATATCCCGTTAAAATGCCCATGTCGGATAGATTAATTAAATCTATCCATTATTTAAACGGCTTTCAAGTATCTACTAATACGAGAATGTGAAACCGATAGCTGTAACTACGCCTAATGTACTTTTTTATGTCAACTGCTCTCCGAAATTTTTGTGAGCCAAAAAAATTTATGTAATTATACACCAGTTTTTCTTTGCATCAAAAACACATGATCATTATATAATGAATATATCATCGGTTTACTGATGATATTTTTTTCACACGATTAGTTTAGTTACATGATATTCTTAGATACATTAGGTATTATGCTAATTCTATTATTTTTTGGGCAAAGTTTCTATATATTAAGTTTTTTTGTTGGTATAAGTTAATCAAGTACGTAAAACCTAGGATTTTTTTGGTGTATTTAACAAAGCTGAGGTGTTAAATCAGTACTATCCTACTCTAACATTGATGTAACCCCTCAGTGTATCTCGACAAGAAAAAACTTAATAACTTTATTTATGTTATTCGTTTGCATAGCATAATAAAAATATTTAAAAAAAAAAAAATAATAATATTTATATATTTATAGGTTAATTATTAGCGAATAAAAAGTAATAAGACCTTTTTTATTTATATAAAAATTATGGCACAGTTTTAATTCTCCCTGTTAGATACCTAATTACTTTAATTAGAAGGTGATAGATTATAGAAACATTTTATCATAAAATTTTTCAGATAAAAAATGTAGTTACAATCAAAATCAAACGCAATTATTCTTTTCAAACGAACGATTGAGTTCTGCTGAAAAGCTCTTAAAGACTTTATTTATGCGAGTAATTGAAAAAGAAAAATATATAGTAAGAATAGATTAATACAAGATAAAAAAAATGTTTATTAGCGCACATACAGGTGTTACAGAAGGTGTTTAGTATCCCTAATTATTTTAAACTATATCATATATAGAAAATATTATTTTCTTATGAGGCTAATGAGTTTATTCTACTTTGTACATGTATTATTTAATTTCTTATGAAAATTAAATTTTTAAATTATAGATATCATTATTATAAATATTATTAATAATATTATTGTTATAACTTTATTAAAAAAATTAAGTTTATTATGCAATACATAACTAGAAAAGTGGGGGGACTTTGTCCCTAACGGATCAGATTGTAATCATAAATGTTAGCACCCCAAGTTTTGGACTGAATGTGCGCTTATGAGAATATCTAAATAATATTTATTAAATGTAAATAGTATGGAACCAGATTAATTAAATTTGATCGAAAAGGATATAAAAGAAGAACTCGAATTTTAATTCTAACAAACAAGAATCTTTATTTAAATAAAATTAAAAAAACCAAGTATAAGATTGTTGATAAAATACCACTTGTTTATATAAATAAATTTGACATAACTTCAGGAAAAGATAATTTTTTACTAATAAAAATATCTTCTAATTATAAACAAACTAAAGTAAGTTGTTACATTGAAGAAAAATTAAATTTAAATTAAGTAATTCAATAATTATTTATATCTTTTATACTTTTTCAGGGTGATTTAATATTAGAAATTCCTTACTTAATAGAATTTGTTACACAATTTGTAAGAATATCAAAAAATGCTTCTATATTGAATATAAATAGAATTAATGTTACTAAAAAGTAAGTTGCTAAAAATATTTGTCAGAAAAATAGAGTTAAGAACTTTATTTTCAGTTTATGAATAAATATTAGCTTCGATGCGAAGCTGAGAAGGTATTGGTTTTACTAAGATGTGTTTATTTTTTTTTTTTTTTTTTTTTTTTGT